GTAGGCTATGAGCCACTGTACTGGCATTTGTTCTCATAATGACTCCTACAGAGGACAGACTCCATCTCCAAGCACATTTGGGGTATTTCTCTCTGAGTTACAGCACTCACTGATGCTGATGTATTTCTGTTAGCTATGTGATTCCATAATTTCACAGCATTAGTTGGCCACTATTTCAAATCTGACTCTGTTTTCTTATATATGATATACAGCACGTTGTAGTTGGATCCGCACCGTTATGTATTTTTCTTACAAAACAATTTTAAGAATCATTTCCCATGCATACATGATGTAAAAATAGTTGTTTTCTTCCATAAATATTTTCTTAAGGAAATAGAAGCGTGTTTTATGCTCTGTTATGTCTTATAGAGTCGGAAATAAACTCCTCTCGGATTTATCTGAAAGGGATACCGAATGTGTAAAAGGAAACTAGTGTTTAGCAAGCTCTGGACTTTTGTAAAATATCTCAGCTCAACTTCAAATAAGGTTGACAGATAATATGTAAAACATCTAGTTAAATTTAAATTTCAGATCAGCACATACACTAAAATTACATGTTGATCTGAAATTCAGGATGAACTGGGCGTCTTGTTTTTATTTGCTCAGTGTAGCCCCGTATCCTTCAATGACTGTGCGTTGACTCCAACCTGGGTGGCTTTCTCTTGCCCAACCCCTCTAAATCTGTTTCCCTGTAGCTAAAGAAAAGGATGATTCTGGACTGTGAAAATCTTGAAATACCCTCCAACACAGAGATGGGAAGGCTTAGCCCTTAAAGTCCTGTTGTTGATGATCTCTCCTGGGTATCTGAGAACAGAGCAGAATGAAGGCTGTTTTCAGTTTATTCCACATCAGATTCTTAGTGTCGGGGTTAGAGTCAGACTGGAAGGAATCCAGGTCATCATTTACTCCAGCGTGGTTTCCCGGGTGGAGAGAACAGATCTCAGCCCTGTTATCAGCAGGGCCTAGACTTCTAGGGCCACCCTAGGGGGTTACTTCATATAACTGGTGGGTGTTTTCCAATTATGACTCATGTAAGATGTGCAAGATGGCATTTGGGTGACAGGCAGACTGGAAAGAGCCATATGGGCTGAGGCTCTGCAGAGCCAGGGGTGGGAGGGAAGGAGGGAGTGGGGATTCAGGGAGGCTCCTTTTGGAGAAGCCTAAGCATTTTCTCTGGCTCCTAGATGCTGGTGGAAGCCTTCTCAAGCTCTCCACTCATGTTACCATTTTTCCTGACATCAACTAAGAGGAGACTCTGGGAACAGGTTTCTCTTGAACACCTGCCTTCTCTGCAAAGGGAAACCAAAGGCCAATTTCTGCCACAGACACATCCATCAGCCACTGGGACATCGTTTTGATAAATCTTCTTTTTAACATGAACAGAAAATGTCACTCTTCTCTTGCTAATCTCCAATGCAAACCTAACATTTTGGCTTCACATTTCTCATGCCTACGCAACATGGCTTTCTAATTCCACACCACCCCACGTTAAGAATGTCCTTTGAGCTAAACTCTTATAGCCCATGATCCGTAAGCAAATAAGGATGTTGTGAACCAGGAGAGCTAATGTTTAAAGCAAGAGGAGAATCTGTGTGGACTGTAACTATCTCCACATTTATTAATTCTCTGAATGCCAGCTTTTGCATGTTTTCCTAAAGATAGGCCTAGCTGGAGAGTGAATCATCCCAACACCCATGAGCTCACCCCAGGCTACCGTGAGACCATGTTGCTGTTGAACCCTGGGCACCGAGTAGCTCTCTGGGAGTGCAGAAAGGGATGGAGGAAAGGCACATTCAGGGTCTTGAGAGCTTTCTGAGCTGATGAAATTTTTTTTTTTTAAATAGATGAAAACCAGGGAGGGTGTTGGCGACCTAGAGTCTGATCCATGCATTTTTGAAAACACTTGAGATTTGGAACTATTTCCCCAGCGCATCCCCTGCTGCTGTGATTATTAGGAGTATCTCTTCTCACTGATCTTGATAGAGGGCTGCAGTCTCCAGGGACACGGGATCCCATCATCAGTGGATTTGTTACAAACACCGACTCCTTTCTGTTTTGAAAGCTGGAGACAGAGCTGTGCATTCTGCCTCGGCATTTGCTTCACTCTGCTGAGCAAAAGGCCTGGGATACTCTGTGGAGAAGCAGTCTGCACCACTGAGAAGCAGAGGAGCCACTGGTCTGTCTTTCCAGAGGAGACTGGCGCAGGAATTTCAATTAAAAATATTCCTGTCACTTCTCCCTGGTTTCAGGAGCAGACAGCAGCTTCCAAAGAGAACGACTTTTGGAAGTTTTTCTCAAATGTTCTCCACATTCTGCATTCAAAGTCAATGAAAATTCCTCGTGTTTGTCAGTGTACCTGAATTTCCACTTAAGATGTGCTATACATACAGCAGCCAGGGAGAGACGTGTGCATGTTTAAAGGCAGACACTGGATGTTTCAAAAATATCTTTTTACAAATAAAGCCAAATTATGCCAAATAACCTAAAGGAATTTGGAAGGAAATCAAAGACAAACCTTTTGAAGGTCATTTGACTTTCCCTTTGTGAGTTTGGGGGTAGGAAAGTGAGGACAGATCTAGGTGAGGGATCTCAGGGACCCTGGAGCTGGTCTCCATGGGGGCCTTGTCTCTGCCCCAGGACTGGGAGATGCACCTTCAGAATCCAAGGCACAGGGCGGTGATCAGGCCACCTGGAGTAATCCCGGCCTCAGTGACTGGGGTCAGGATGTAGTCTGTTTTAGTCAGCTATTTTGTTGCCATGACTCAAAGATCTGACCAGGACAATTGTAGAGGAGGAAAAGTTTATTTGAGGGCTCATGGTTTCAGAGGTCTCAGTTCATAGATGGCTGACTGGATTCCTCAGGCTTGAGGTGAGGCTGAACATCATGGTGGGAGAGGGGGTGGAGGAAAGCAGCTCCGATCATGGTGACCAGGAGGCAGAAAGAGAAACTCCATTCTCCAGATACAAATATGTACTCAAAGCCGTGCCTGGATTCCCTCTTCCTCCAGCCACACCCCACCACTTCAGTTACCACTCAGTGAATCCCTATCAGGAGATTAAATCGCTGATTGGGTTAAGAGTCTTACAGCCCAATCAGTTCTCCTCTGAACCTTCTTGTGTTGTCTCACACGTGAGCTTTTGGGGGACACTTCATATCCAAGCCATAACATAGTCTCTTCCTCAGGAGGTCGCTCACTCTTGGAGCAAGGTGTGTGGAGAAAGAAAGTGAGGCTTTCTCTTTACCTCTGTCAGATGCTTGGTTCAAGGATCAGAGTCAGGAATTCAGCCCTTGCACACACACACGAAAGCAACCATCTTACCTGGATGGCCAAGTACAGAAAGCCAAGAATGGACTCATCGTGACAGCACATCACAAAGCACGTGGCTTTCTGGTTCTACCAATTGACTTTTCCCTCTGTCCTCAGATGTCATCTCATATTCCTCCTGCCACATTTCCTGCCCTTGGAGGGATGACTCCATTAGTTATGCACCAACTACTGGAAACCTTGGTCGTGCTGAAGTTGGAGATCAAGCTTCAATCAGTAGTGAAGACAGCATGTTGATCTTTCTCCAGGAAGAGAAGAGAATGATGCTGAGATTCTGAGAAGCTCTGAAAATGAATTCCATATCACAGCTGAGCCAGGGACATGGCTGGGATCTGGAATGATAGATGAGAATCATCTGAATCTATATTTAGCACCATCATCAGGAATGACCATGGGGGCAACAGTTTTCCAGAAAATCATTCAAGTGTGTGTACTTTAGAAGTATTATTTTATTTTAGAAGTAGTTTACATTTACAAAACAATTTCAAACTGGTATCGGCAGATCCCACACACCCCTTCTCTTGGCTGTGACAGTATCTCAGATCTTCTCTGTTCTTGACGGCATCTAAAGCTTAGGAGCACTGGTTATGTGCTTGGTAGACTGACCAAGACTGGTTGGGTCCAGTCTCACCTCTAGTAGGTTTCATATGATTGCTTTTTCTTGGTTAGACGAGGTTACCTGTGGAAGACCAAAGGGGTAAAGTGCCCCTCCCATTCCATTGAACTCAGAGCCCAAAATATAGTCATGTCTTATCACTATGGATGCCATCCTCAATCATCTACGATAGCATTTTAAAACTTTCTCTAGTATAAAGTGACTTTTCTTTTCCCTTTCTATGCTTTACTCTTTGGAATGAGGTTCTCATCCACAGCTCACTTCCTATTTTTGAGGGTGAAGTACGTACTTAAACTATTAAGAATTCTTCTAAATGATACATTTTCTCCTCCATTTATTTAACTATTCAATTTCTAATTATGCTGGTATAAGTAAATGTATATTTGGGGGTAAATGGATATTTATTTTATATTTTGGATAATATTTTGTTGCTTAAATTGTTATCAGTGACCACTGAGAACACTTTTCATGTTTCTCGAATATTGCTTTAACATAACCTCATAGTGTAATTTTTCTTTTATTTACTCAAAACACTTCCTTCATGTAATGCAAGAGCGTCCAGGTTCATTTTACATCTATCCTGCCCAAGTCCTAGGATCGGGCCTTCTCCAGGGAAACTTGGTTTGCTCTCCTGGAGAATGGTATTAGAAACAACACTCTCGGAGCATTAGGTTTGCTCACTGTTGCTGGAAGTCATTGCTTCTCAGCCTCTTAACTGGCAAGGGAAGGAAATACACATGTGCATATTAATCCTGCATGTATACATACCTACAGACATTTCTAGAAGCAGCTATTAGTGTTCTTATTAAAGTAAGCCTGAGCCCATACTCTTGGGCCCAGCTCTAACCCATTGCTACATCAACCATTCTCCCCTTTTCCCCTCCATTATCTGCAACTTTCCATCCCAACTGTGAGACACTTGGCTCCTGTGGTGGAATTGTCCATCTGCTTAATTCTTCAATTCTTACTTGAATAGCAATAAAATTACAACCAAGTTATTTGCCTGTGTGTTTTGAGATGTACCTATGTGTTTGAGATCTCGCTTTCTTCTGTCCATGAATACTATTCTGTTGTATGAATTAAAGTAACTTATTGTACTTTCTCCTGATTTTGGACAATTATGAAGGAAGCTTCTACAAGAATTCACAGGTGATGAATTCGTGAATATAGTACTTCAAATCAGTTGGGTGACCACCTTGGAGTGTGATTGATGTTTGCCTATTAATAATATATTGTGAGAACCTGCCGATATGTCTTCCACAATGGAGAGAGCCTTCTGTATTTCTGTCTGTGCTGAGTCAGAGTGGCTGTCACTCTGCATTCTGAGCAGCCACAGGTGTTTGTGTGAGTTGTCCAGAACTTCTCTAATGACACTCCACAGGCTTAGGACA